AAAACACGCTTGAGCCCGCCGATGAGGGTAGCTAAAAGCTAACACCCGAAACAAAAAGCAAAATGGCTGAAAACATGCCTGAGCATCCCGGCCGAGAGCAAAATAGCTGAAAAGACGCTTGAGCCCGCCGATGAGGGTAGGTAAAAGCTAACACCTAAAACCAGTCGATCGAAATTGAACTTCAAAAGACCCTCCAGCTCTTCGTTCCAAAAAGCAAGAGGCTCGGGGGCTACATCCAGATAGGAATACTTTCCTCAGAAAAGCACAAGCGCCACTCAAGAAAGCACTCGGATGCCGAAGTTTGTCAAGGCAACATTCTATGCCGAGTCGTTTTACATAGCGCAGACGAAAGGTTGTCAACACAAAGATCTACATCTAACAAGTCATAGCGCGGACAAAGCACTCGACGGATCACAAAAGAGGAAGAAAAGAAAAGTACTCGACAAATCGAGGGATTTCGTCGGGATATAACGCATGAGAGTTGTTTACGAGGCGAGTACAACCACGACATGCACATATGACGTCCGGGAAGCAATAGCGAGCAAAAGATTAAGATATATGCATATATATACACTGAATACACATGCACATACGGATCTGCATGCATGCAAATGAGGAAGCCATCAATTTCTTTGACACATAAATCATGATGGGATACTGAACGATCCAACAAGGTGCAAGCACACGTCAAGTCATATACAGTCAAGTGTCATCATCATCTACAACTCTAAAATATCAAAGCCAAATCAGAACCAAGCCACGAAGCGAAGAAGCCGTCCGAGACCAAAGATAGCAACTTTGTCCGTTCGAGTGTCCGACTACTTGAACACACGAGATGTCCAACCGTACATCAAGCCAGATAACAAGCAAGCCAAGACTGACTACTCGGCCGAGGAGTCCGAGTACTCGGATACGATTTAAGCAAGAAGAACACGCGATCTACATAACAACTCGGATACGGAAGCCAAGCCAAAAAGAGGAAGGCACACAAGAAAACCCAAAGCTGTAGGCTAGACAAAAGTACACCGAGTCTGCACGAACGCAAAAAGTTAAGAAGAACTCGGATACGAAGACCTCAGCATGAATGGTACAAAATCAAGATCAACTCGGATACGGAGGACTGACCATGAAGCAAGACGAACGACCAAAGAAGCAGGCAAGGCCAAGGCGTTTGTGCACTATTTATGTATGTGCATGCACATACATATCAAGGCTCGTACATGATGCGTACATTCCTGTCGACAAGCTGTTCTAGCTGGCCAACAAGCAAGCCATCCGATTTGGAAGCAAGCAGGCCACTACAACAACCATCACGACTCGCCCGCGATGCTCAATGACTACCTCGACTACTACTCAGAACCAACAAACTAGTCGGTGACGAGTTCCGGATGCTCGACGTGTCTACAACCAACTACTCGGACGTGGTATCCAACTACTCGTCTGAAATACCCAGCAACTCGGCTGCGGCGATCAACAACGCAGCCACGAACCAAGGGAGCTACATCTATACCATGAGATTGGGAAAAACACGCTCTTGAGAGCTATTTTACTCAGACAAGTCCAGAAACAACCTGGTTTTGATGAGGACATGGCACCTTCAGATACGAACAATGATTATAAGGTGCGCTCGTTCCTATATTTGCATAGTGGCTTTGGTTATAATTCACTTGGTTCCACATGTACATGTCACTATTTGAATGTAGGTACAAATATGTCTCAACATGCAAGTTCATCAAAGTTGAACTTTCGGTTCGTCGACAGCCCGACAGTGCCTCATTGGGAAGGCCATAACTCATCCATCCGGAGTGCGATCGAGGTCAATGAGCACTTGATGGAAAGCTTGTTTGATAAGCTTTCAAATAGATCTGGTCCCATCTCAATATAACGTCGGCAAGGCCTCCAAATCACCAATATATTCTGTCGCTATTTCTGCGGGAGCTACACTGTCGTCATGGGCTTGTTAGACATCCTTGGGACCCAGGCCCAAGTTGGAGCACGCCCAAGAAGATGGAGAACACCTAAGAGATGGCCTTGGACGTCCTCCTCCTTGGCCACCACCTTAGGAGGCCAGCAAGGACGTCCAAGCCAAGCCAGAGGCCCAGTCCAATTCGAGTTCGAGTCTGCCTCGGCCATCAAGACCAGTCTGCAATAAAACGGACGTCCAGGACGCATCCGAACTCCGTTTTCGATGATCCACATATGGAAGGAAAGATAATTTGATAAGGAAGCCAATCCAAGTGGTTTCACATCAAAAGCTCTTCGGAATCAACAGGAATCGTCGAAATAAGTCAGCGTCCAGAATCTGTCAGGGTGCTGCAACACCTTCTTTTAGGCCGTTGGGCCTTGTAACGTGTTGGGACACCTTTAGGACGTGAAGAGAGATCTTTGGACGTCCCTTAGGATATATAATCAGTAGCCACCACCTACTTTAGGGTTTGGGTTTTGCTTAGATTATTCTGTCAAGAAACAGTTTCGCCGTTCTTCGGTTTGTGAGACTCCAACTCGTGAGATTAATCATACATTTGCAATTTGGTTGCGTTCTTTCTTGTTCTTGCTTGTGTTCTTCATTGCGCAGGCAGGGATTAGCCTTCTTGGCGAGGTCAACCTGGTCCATGACTCGGTTGATAACCAGAGGAGCTGTGGTGCTAAGATTGCAGGGTTCGATCTTTCGATCTGAAGCCGGATCGGTGTGTCATTCTCCGCCACAACGATAGTTACCATCACCTGACGGAAGATCGGGATCCCTGTCTCCATGAGGTTTGATCAAAAAAGAACGCCGATGAGATACGGCAAGAACCAAGACAAGCTCAGAAAGAACCCGGATTGATCAAAAAAGAACCCCGACAAGGTACGGCAAGTACCAAGACAAATCCAGAAAGAACCCGGATCGATCATAAAACAACCCCGAAGAGGTGCTGCAAGTACCAAGACAAATTCAGGAAGAACCCGGATTGATCAGAAAATAACCCGGATAAGGTACATACAAGTTCAGAAAGAACCTGGACGAAGTGCAAACAACCTGGAAGAGGTACATCAAGAACCAGAGAAGTATAGAAAACGACCTGGATGAATAAAAACAACTCGGAAGAGCATCACGACTTAGTCAAATCAGAAAACAACCCGGATAAGGTACATACAAGTTCAGAAAGAACCTAGACGAAGTGCAAACAACCTGGAAGAGGTACATCAAGAACCAGAGAAGTCTAGAAACGACCTAGATGAATAAAAACAACTCGGAAGAGCATCACGGCTTAGTCAAACACTAAGCTCGGGGGCTCGGCATTCGCTTCAACTACGCTCGGGGGCTCGAATTCAAGGATGAAAGACCAAGAATACAAGTACTCAAGACTACAACAAAGACAACACATCAAGACCCTTCATCCGATTTCTATTCTAAAGAAAAGTACTCGGAGAAGGCTCGGGGGCTGCGGGATACATAACCCCAAAATTTTTTTGAAGACAAGAATCTGGACCCTCTAACTTTTGCAAGCAAAAGCAAGAGGCTTGGGGGCTACACTCAGTGAGTGCAATTTTTACGAAAAATTGCACCCACCGAAAAAGAACTCGGAGCAACCAAGAAGACTAAAGGGACCCTCTGACTTCTTGTCCCAACAAGCAAGAGGCTCGGGGGCTACACTCACTGAGTGCACTTTTATCCAAAAGTGCACATCAGCCGAAGAAAAGACAAAGAAGACCATATCAAGGTTTCACTTCAAGAAGAACCTCGAACGGATTTACAACAACTCAACGAAGACCAAGAAGAACAAGAAGGCTTCCGAAGCTCATCCATGAGATGCTCGGGGGCTTGTCGATACGGGATCCATGGGGTTTCCCACGGAGAAGAGAGAAGAAGACCTAGTCCAACTAGGATTTCCTACGTGTAATCCTACTTAGAACTAGTTACACATAATCCTACTAGGATCTCTACTTTGTAACCGACTAGGACTCCCGCCTCTCCTAGACTATATAAAGGAGGGCAGGGGTCCCTAGATCGGGGGCGACAGACATAACCGACAGAACTCACAACCACAACATACCTCGCAACACAACAAATAGCGCAGGGCGCAATATACTATCCACCCCACACTGGACGTAGGGCGCCGTGATTTTCCGGCGTACCGAACCAGTATAAATCGTTGTCTCCCTGCGTTTACCATCGAGTTCCTGCAAACGCCGATACCCCTGCGAACAAATCACCGTCCCGGGTACCCCGTGACGGGTTGCCGGTGGTAAAACATCGACACTCCTTCTGGCCGAGGAACTCGTCCTCGAGGTAGCACCAGGCGCCACGAGCGGGGAGCTGCCGCATCATCAGCGACTGCTGCAGGTCGTTGGAGATGGTGTTGTAGATCCACGTCAAGACGACACAGTCCGTCTGCACCCATGCCGGGCGTGAGGGGAAGGACTCGTCCTCAAGGACATGGCGAGTTAGGGCATATTTTTCGAGGACGGTGAGGAACATGCCACGCCACTTGCTGTTGGTGTTGGTGGCCTGATCGAGCACGATGGGGATGAGGGCCTTGACGTTGACGACGGTGGTGGCCTGTGCCCAGAGTGCTTCATGGGCGTTCTCGTACTCGTCCAAGGCGGCAGCTCGGAGGCGAGCCTGCTCGGCGCGGCGAGCGTCTTCGGCGTGCCGGGCTTCGGCCTCAGCAGCGAGGCGACGGTCTTCGACATCCTTGGCGGCGGTGGCTGTGGCAGCGTCGTCGTCCGCCATCAGGAAGGAGCAGCGCGGCGAACCAGTGGCTGTGGGAGCGCTGGCGGCGACACACCTGGCAACGGAGTCAGCGACGGGAGCGGATCTGCGGCAGGCTAGGGGTGCGGAAGGGTAGCGGATCGTAACCGCGAATGATACCATGCAAGAGTAATTGGAATGACTGTATTCCATATTGTGTACAAGAGTACGTATAGGCAGCCGGGGTGGCATGCAAGCCAACCGCACAAGCACGAGATTACATCCACAATTAAGGAACCACTATAATTACATTGTGCTAACACAGACAAAGCAGCTGGGCCGCCTCCCCGTCGTCCAGTTTGCCACCGGGGGAGTAGCCACCCCCGCTGACGCCGCGCTCATGATGCAGCTCGGCTGCGACGGCGTCTCCGTCGGCTCCGGCATCTTCAAGAGCGGCGACCCGGCGCGGCGGGCGCGTGCCATCGTGCCGGCCGTCACACACTACAGCGACCCGGAGATCCTCGCCGACGTCAGCTCAGGCCTCAGGGAGGCCATGGTCGGGATCAACCTCTCTGCCCCAAAGGTCGAGCGCTACGCCGCGCGCTCCGAGTAGCGCTCCGACTCAGGCAGCCAGGCAGGCAGGCGGCGATCGACTCTATAAGAAACCAAAGAAAACTCAAATAAAGAACTCTTCCATTCCCTTCCTTTTTGACTAGTATCTTTGCTTGTTTGCCTTGCTTGCAATCATCCAATGTAATGTCATGTCTCTTCTGTTTAGGGAACAAAGAATCGAATTCGCATTGGTATGCTATGCATTTTATTCCTTCCTTATTATGAAAAAAAAGAAAGAAGAAGACATTGCTGCTATCATCGTTCTGCATTTTGTTTTGCTACTACTTTGATGAAATCACCTCTTCTGCTTGTCCCTTGTTAGTATTTTGGGAAATCTGGACTGGTTGCCCAGTATAGTAAGTAAAATATGCTCATTGAAGTTGTTTATGCCCCCAGTATATCTTCCCTTTCAGCTAATAACCACAGTGGAGTTGTTTATGCTTCTGTTCCTTGCCTGTGGGTTATTACTTGCAGGACCAAGGATGTATATGTTGTTGTTTTCCTTGCCTGTGGCTTGTGATTACAGCATCACAGATCATTCACAGCTTTGTCCCTGTCCTGCCAATGTGATATTTCATCCATTTGCACGCACTTGTTGGAGGCAAGCTATTCAGGTTATCCCACTGTATGTTCCACAAAAAGAAAAGGTTATCTATCCCACTATGTCTGCATTATGTGTATGGTATACAGCGACAGGAAACAAGAACCAGAGACTAGAGACGCGGAAAAGACACCAAAGGGTCCCCCGACCATTGCTATTCTTCGTTGCTACTCTTCACACAGACAACATCCTTATCCTTCTTGTGCCTCTTGTTAGCATCAACTGCATTTCCAGCTCTGCATCCTTGAGTCCTTGACATAGGACCGCATCAGCTCAATGATCCTGCCGCTGTACTTCTCCTTCTTCACCTTCCCTATGACCTTCTCCAGCCGCTTGGGGTTCAGACAGAAATGCACACCATGTTACATTACATCACTTGCAACTGCAAACACAAGGAAGCAAGTAACAAACGCCTCACCTCCACCTCTGTGGTTGGCTTCTGGCAGCTCAGGAGCAAAATCTGCTCAGAGGAGAGAACTGCAGGGGGAAATATGTTTATGCCCCCGTTACTGGAAAACGACGAGAGCTCCCTACGCAGTCCATCAAGTTTAGCTTCCATATCACTCATCCGGCTGCGCTTTGCACCTTTGGACGATTTACCACCACCTCCTCTATCTTGAGAACTCTCGACAGCAATCTCAAGCTTCACTGGTCTGTTCCCTGTGTAGCAAGGAGCCCATCAGCACTTGGCAGTAGTATTTTACACGTGAATGTACAATCCAGTATTTTCCCTTGCAAGGCTGGCTTCCACAGTGATCCTAAGGTAACGTACGCGTTGGTTGAATATGCTGTATGCTGAAATTCTTCTTTCTGAAGTGCAAGAAAGAATCTGACCTTAGCTATCACTGCACAAGGTGGTTGAACGAGAATATAGATACACTAATAATGAATTCGCTTGCACTGCTTGCAGGGCACACATACAGAAACATGGTCGAGTATAAGCTGGACTATCAACTGCTCAATTTCTTCTCTTTTAAGATCAACATCTTGATTGGAACGACCTGCTTCAACATGATCAACTGTAATGTAAAATTGCTTGAGACGATATTCAACTTACATTAGAACAGTGAATAGACCTCTGAATGATGACTGATGACATAATACCTAACACGCACAACGTAAATAAAAAGAGGAACAGCTTATGGCATCATAAAAGATTTGTTTCAGGAGATATACCTAAACCTTTCCACTTGGCCTTGAACTTATCCACCAACTGCAACAGTGTAGCTCTTTGTTCATTAACTTGCAGGTCGTGTAGAAGTGAAACTACAATTTTGGTATGGTCTGAACAACAAGTAATAGAAATTAACATTGGAATATGAACAGAAAATAGATGAAGAACTTCGAATTATGATCATTAATTGTAATTTCGAGACTGATACAGAGTCATCTCATACGGGTGGCATCTATATCCTTGAGCTCGATACTAGAAGCACCATTGTCGCACTTTCCTGCGAAGAATTCTGTAAATATCAATGATCCAAATGTTTAGCTCCTGATTGTAGAGGGATTAGGAGATGGGAAACACCGCACATCCTAATGAGGGGGGGTGACCTTTTATATATATAGCCAATGTGGCTTGGTATACAAGGAATACAATCAAGTATACATGGCAAGCAATAAAACACAACTATACATGTCTAATACCTACCCACAGTCATAGTGGGAGGATCCCGGACACAAAGACTGGACCTAAAATCAATGAACAACTGTACAGGCAAGCCTTTCGTCATGGTGTCCGTGAATAGATGGGAAGACGGGACATGGAGTACACGGACTTGTCCCAAGGCCACCTTCTCGTAGACAAACTGGGTGTCAATCTCAATATGCTCCGTGCGCTGGTGGTAGACTGGGTTGGATGTCATATAGACAATGCTCACATTGTCACAGTAGACAATCGTCGCAGAGGCAAGCGAGACATGAAGCTCCTGAAGAAGTTGGCGAAGCCAGCAACACTCGGCCGCAGCATGGGCCATAGCACAATACTCCACCTCGGTGCTAGAACAGGAGACGGTGGTCTGATGCTTGGAGGACCAAGAGATCGGATTGTCGCCGAGGAAGACGCAGAACCCCAAGTGGAGTGCCGAGAGTCTAGACAGCCAGCCCAATTCGCATCAAAGTACACAGTTAGGGACTGAACGAAGCTGGTGCTGATGTGTAGTCCAAAGGAGAGCATGCCCTTCACGTAGCACAAGATGCGCTTGATCAGCATGAGATGGGGCTCGCGAGGATCATGCATTAAGAGACACACCTACTGCACCGCATATGCCAGATTGGGGCGAGTCGATGTGAGGTACTGGAGAGCGCCAACAAGGCTCCTATACTCAGACGGGTCCTCAACAGGGGCACCATCCGCCGCCAAAAGCTTGGCACGAGTGTCGATAGGAGTTGTCGTAGAGTGACACTTGGCCATGCCAGCACATTGAAGTAGGTCCAGCGCATACTGGTGCTAGGACAAGAACAGTCCATAGGTGGAGCATGCGACAGATGCCGAGGAAGTGGCGGAGGATACCGAGATCCGACATGTTGAACTCAGAGTGGAGACGCTAAGTAATGCGCCATAGAAGAGTCATCGATGAGGCATTGAGAATGATGTCATCAACTTAGAGCAACAGGTAGGCAACACTATCACCATCTTTGTAGACAAAGAGGGAGGTGTCGGAGGTCGAGGCCACGAAGCCCAGCTGGCGGATGTAGGTGGCTGTTGACGGTAGTTAACAACCACTATAAACAGTCAATTAAACATGGATAATGGCATAAATGTAATCTCCAATGAAGGTTTAGGGGTTTAAACTAATGAATTCCATGAGCTTTGGTGATTTCATGACTGCAGGAGGATTTATCCGGAAAACAGCTCCCGGGACTACTGTCATACACTCCAAACGAGCAAACCAACGACAACAAGTGATTCTACCCACGACACCTATGAAAGTCGACCCAAGACGAAGCCCAAGCCTCGCCACCTGGCACCATAGTGGGCTGGCCGGCCCACTAGGGAGTCCGCTCGGCCCATGGGGGTGGCCCATCACCCCCACCGTCGCTTAGTGTCGACGAAATATGGTCGACAGTCCACCGAGGGGGGTGCCCGTGGTGGTAGATTATCGGTAGGATGCGTGTGATCTGGAACCAGATGGTGACACAAGGCGCAGAGACAACGATTTAGACAGGTTCGGGCCGTCTGATCGACGTAATACCCTACGTCCTGTGTCTTTGGTGTATTGTATTGATGTGTATACAGATTAACCTCCTTCGGTCCGTCCTCTAGGGGACCCTTGCCCCTCCTTATATACTCCGAAGGGACAAGGTTACAAGTAAAGTATCCTATTTGGTACTATTACAATGTCTTGCGGTGCACGCCAAGCAGCGCCGGACACGCCTTGATCTCACGGGCCGGGCCACCTCGGATGGTGCGGCCCATGTACCATCTTGTGGTACCCGGGGGTCTATCCCCCACAGCTAGTCCCCGAGCGCCATGTATTCTGATGCGACACGCCATTTCAACCTTCTCCGAACAGTGAGGCTTGAGTCCTTGACGTCTCTAACCACCGTCGTCGCCGGAGAAGTAGGTTGTCCGAAGAATGTATGGTGCTCTTAAGAAAAAAGAAAAAGATTTCCGTCTTGGGAAGTGTGCCCACTTGTATTTCTAAAAAGAAATGTAAGTGCGACTTGAAGCGTAGCGTCCTTGATCATCAGAGGCGTAAGGGTCGAAAAACAAACACATTCACCGCAAGGTGAAGTGTGCCCACTTAGTCCCCGAGCCTGGTAGTAGGTGACGAGGCACGCGTGGTGCCGTGGTCTAAAAAGAATTCCCGCTAAGTTAAGAATCTAATCGTCATACATGCGATACGATGCACTCGCATCGATGTAGTCCCCGAGCTTGCTTTGGGGCGAGGTATAAGCCTTGTAGCAAGGTCCAAGAAAAATATCCCAACCGTATGCGAGTTGCCGATCCACGTGTAGTCAAGACGCAAAGTCCCCGAGCCATGGTCGGAGAGTGGTCGAGGCGGTCCCGAGCACAGTCGAGGAGCGAGCGACGAAGTCCCCGAGCCGTGGTCGAGAGTGATCGAGGCGATCCTCGAGCAGCACAGTCGAGGAGCGAGCGACGAAGTCCCCGAGCCGTGGTCGGAGAGTGATCGAGGCGATCCCAAAGCACAATCGAGGAGCCAGCCGACGAAGTCCCCGAGCCGTGGTCGGAGAGTGATCGAGGCGCCTCCCGAGCGTGGTCGTCGAAATTTTATCTTTGGATAGAAATCGGTCAATGGCGATGAAGTTGTCCATCCTCGAGCTTTTCGCCTGTCGTCATGACTGTGGGTTGCGATTGTCGTAGTGCCGTTTCTTCGTGGCGATCATTATTGCGACGTGGTCCGGTGGTCGATGTGGTCGAGCTCGGCCGGAGCCGCCGGGGCGTGGTCGACGTGGTCGCGGTCGACGTGGTCGGAGCTCGGTGGAGCCACCCGGACGTGGTCGACGTGGTCCGTGGTCGACGTGAGCTCGGACAAATTTGCTGCAATCGGTGATGGTGTAGGAGCAGCCTTTGCCGCCGAGTACTCGTCGCCTTCGCTGGCTTGTGTGTTGATCAAGCTTGGCTCTTGAAATTGACGTGAGCTACATGGCACGCGTATATGCATGCATACTTGGCCTTGCTTGCTTGCGCGCTCGGCTTCATGGTGATGTTGTCGTACGTCCCTGCCTCGCTTTGCCTCGTGTTGATCTCGATGCCGTAGTCCACGGGCGCGAGAGGTTGCCGAGCATCGCCACGAGTGAGCAAGAGGCGCGCCCCGACTATGCAACGATATATGCATGAACATGAATACGTGTAGCCCCGATTGCTTGCATGGCCATGACGCTTTGCATGCATATATCCATATACGATACATGCATATATCCATATATGCCTTGTCCTCGCTTGCTTCCTGCTTTGCTTGCATGGCCACATGACGTTCACATGCATATACCGCATATACGATGCACGATATATCCCGAGCACGAGAGTGGTCTCCGATATATCCCGAGCACTTGCATGGCCATGACGTTCACATGCATATACCCGTGATACGATGCACGTATATATCCTGAGCACGGAGTGGTCTGGCGATATATCCCGAGCACGGAGTGGTCTGGCAAGAAGACCCAGAGCGCAGAGTGGTCTGGCGAGTCCCCGAGCGCGGAGTGGTCTGGCGAGAAGTCCCAGAGCACAGAGTGGTCTGAGAGAAAGTCCTGCAGCACGCGTGCGTGTCCGAGAGTGGTCGGACGGAGTTGATCTCGTAAGAACCGGGACGAAAAACGTAGATGAATTCCGGTCGTCGGACATGGATGAGTACGAGCAAAGTCCGGATATATCTTGATTATCTTTAGCTTGCTTGCATGTCCGACTGACAGACATGTGGGCACCTCTTTCTTTGTTTGCTTGTTGGTTGAGGATTTGACGAGCCGTGTGCCGCCGACGGCGTGCGGATACGCCATCGTCGCATGCCAAGTTTGCTCGCCATGATTCTCGACTTTTTGAGATGCATCCGTGTACGCTGTGAGTGCTTGCTTGTTTCGGCCGGGTAACGATGCCATAAAAGACTTGGATAGTTTGAGACAGGCCCCGGATCAGGTCTCATTCTTCTTGCCGCCGAACGCCAGTGGTCGCCGCTTGATTCCACGCATCATCCTGCGGCCGCTTCATGTTTCCTTCAGAGGTGAAGTCCCATCGCACGTAGCCGGACGATTGTTGTCATTTACGCCGAGCTCGTAAAAGGCTGTTGTTGAGGTCGTTGTTGTCGCAGGTAGCCGACGGGTTGTTGTAGTCCCCGAGCTTGCCGGAAGGCGAGGTATGAGCCTTGTAGCAAGGTTTGTGTGGAGGTGCGACAAACACCCGCACAAGGAACGCCATCAACAAGTCACCGGAGCGCCATTATCTTCTTCAAACCAACCGGCGAAACTCGCGGTCTCGACCAGCCAGCATCGGCGGGGCCATCTTCTTTAGCTCGATCAATGCCGAGTCCCCGAGACCCGAAAGACGATGTCGCCCAATGACAGCAAGCGCGCCATGATCCCCGACCAGCCAATAGTGTAGGCTATAGTCAGACAAGAAGATGTAGTTGTGTTATTGTAAACTTGGACCTTTTCAGCAAGCTTGTAATAACGTGAATCAGATATCAACATAAGCTTGTTTGTTTTTGTAGAAAACATGTTTAAGCTCGGATATGATGTTGGTGTAACTAAGTTAGAACGTGTTGGCGTTACGCTTAGTTATACCAGCTTAGCCGACACGCCATCCTGAAAGGTTTGTACGGCCCCTGGTTTGACTCATGCCATCGGAGTGTGAGGTGTAATAAAGTATGATGCTGAAAGGTTCCCTGAGCTTGCTGGAAGGCGAAGTATGAGCCTTGTAGCAAGGTCAAAGAAAATAAATGCCTCTCAACTGTATGTGAGTCTAAGTCACATGTAGCCGAGGAGAACAGTCCTTGGACTGTGGTCGGAGAGTGGTCGGGGCAGTCCCCGTCCACAGGTCGAGGAGCGAGCGACGAAGTCCCCGAGCCGTGGTCGGAGAGTGATCGAGGCAGTCCCCGAGCACGGAGTGGTCTGGCCAGAAGTCCCAGAGCACGGAGTGGTCTGGCGAGTCCCCGAGGGTCCTAGAGCACGGAGTGGTCTGGCGAGTCCTCGAGCACAAGGG